AGCTGCTCAGGCAGCTCCTTGAAGAACATCTCATACAGCAGAACCCTTGGATCGTTGTGCGGTTCGGGCGACCGCAAGCGGCCGCAGGACCTAGACCTTAATTTTTGGCCAAGACACTCAGCCTTCTTCCCACGACTCATGAGAAACGCAAGGAGGGCAGGCCCGCTGAAGCCGGTGAAGTACACGTGGGGCTTCTCAGACCGTGTATTCCCGGGTGTGTTGCGAAACAAGACGTTCGACATGGACATGTTCAGGCTGGAGTCCACCAGGCGGTAGAAATGCCACGGCCCTGAGGCTGCCACTGTGTCGTTTAATTAGGGATCACAATTATTTCAGCTTCAGCAACCCCACAACTCCCTGTCCTTCGGCAGGCCCACGATCATCCTCAGTCTTGATGTACTCTCCCGCATGCACGTTCAGCTTGGCCTCGAAGAAATCCATGGTCATTGTTTTCGGCGGCGGCGGACGCAAGATGGTCTGAACCGGAACTCGGAACAAAGGGGCTCCTGTCGCTCGTCCGTCAGTCGCCACGTGCGAGATGATCCTGTCCGTCATAGCCGACGTTGGGTCATGGACCGTCAGGCGAAGGAACTTTGTGCTGCACCCCATGAACTTCATGATGTTTGTGGAACCAGTCCACGAGCTGGAGCCGGAGGCCGCCGACACACTGACACCGTCAGCCTCCGCAGTCTTCGTCTTCCTCCTCGTCTTCTTCTCAGGCATCGGCGGAAGGGCATCGCTGACTTTCAAGTCCAGCCTTAGTTACCAGACTGCCAATAAACTAAAGAAATTACATGACCGAATCACGTTTTTCGATCAAGCCGCTTTCTGGCTTCAAGCCTTGCCGCTGCGACAAAGCACGCCTCGGGCGAGTCAAAAAACTCGTAGTGCTGCATCTGGGCCGCCTTGACGTCGTCCCGAATGGCAAAGCCGAGCATGGCGAAGGACAAAACAGCACGCGATCCGTCACAAGGAATTTCAGGCAGCTGGGGCCGATGCAATATCAGGCCGGGCAAACGATGACAATCATTCAGGCTCAAGCAGAACCACGGAAGCAAGGGGAGTGCCAGTCTGAGGCCGCAACTCCCCAATCACACGGTGGAGCAGCAAGTCGAAAGTGAAAGATACCTCAGAAGAGCGGTGCTTGCAGGCATTCACGAAAAAAGCTTTGCAGCCACTACTGCTTCAGAGACAGTCACCAGCACAGGTCAGAGGCAGAAGAACATCAGCAAATATTCGCACCCTGGCCTATACCGTGTACTTGCAAAGTCGTATGCAGTGATTGAAACAGATTAGGAATTCCTAATTACTCTGATTTCCGTGCTTCAGTCAACATCATCACACAAAATTTTAAGAACCAAGATATACGTAAAGCCTCCATGAGTGTACAGCTTGCATCCGTCCTAATTCCGGCCATAAGGCCTTTGACTGAAACACACACCGACGCCCAAACCATTGCAGACAAATCATCTTGGACACACAATTGCTTCACAAAACGCAGTTAACTGCCAACAAAAAAACAACCCGATGGCACTGAAGACATATCTTCTATCCACTTGACTCATAGGAACCCTATTAGATGCAATTTTTTTATGCGGCAATAATTACACTCCATAGTGGAATCTGTATTAGGTGCATTATACTTTGTCTTCAGTGCAACAGTGCTGCACTGAAGACAGCTGTAATTGCACTGAAAACAAAAGCCCTTGAGTATATTGCTAATGACACTCCATAGTGGAATCTGTATTAGGTGCATTATACTTTGTCTTCAGTGCACCAATGCTGCACTGAAGACAGCTGTAATTGCACTGAAAACAAAAGTCCTTTTGTATATAGCTAATGACACTCCATAATGGAATCTGTATTAGGTGCATTACACTTTGTCTTCAGTGCACCAATACTGCACTGAAGACAGCGGTGATTGCACTGAATACAAATCCAGTATAACTATCTTTACACTCCATAATGGAATCTGTATTAGGTGCATTATACTTTGTTTTCAGTGCAGCAATGCTGCACTGAAGACAGCTGTAATTGCACTGAATACAACCAACTCCTAATGGATTACAATAATTCTATTCGATGCTTGAATTTATATCAAATGCATATTATTCTTTTTATTGCACGAAAGCTGCCATTGCCTTTGTTCTTTTGTTTTAAACTTTTTTGTTGCAATAATTACAATCCATAATAGAGTTTGTATTAGGTGCATAATGATTCGTTTTCAGTGCAACAATGCTGCACCGAAGATAACCGTAATTGCACTGAATACAAACCCACTATTAATATATTTCCCTAATTACATTCCATAATGGAATTTATATTAGGTGCATAATACTTTGTCTTCAATGCAACAATGTTGCACTGAAAACAACTGTAATTGCACTGAATACAAACCCACTATTAATATATTTCCCTAATTACATTCCATAATAGAATTTATATTAGGTGCATAATACTTTGTTTTCAATGCAACAAGGTTGCACTGAAAACAACTGTAATTGCACTGAAGACAAACAAATTCCATATTAGAAAATTGCTAATTGCATTCCATAGCTGTATTGAATACAAAGCTAGTAGTCTTTAAAATACTAATAAAATTACATTTTTTGCAGTCCAACTGGAGTGTTTGTTCCATGCACGCCATTGCCTTCGAAATCCATAAACAAATATAAAGCACTAATTGCATTCCATAATGGAATCTGTATTAGATGCATTATACTTTGTTTTCAGTGCACCAATGCTGCACTGAAGACAGCTGTAATTGCACTGAATACAAATTCATTTTGAAATACTACACTGGTTACACTCCATAGTGGAATCTGTATTAGGTGCATTATACTTTGTCTTCAGTGCACCAATGCTGCACTGAAGAGAGCCGTAATTGCACTGAATACAAATCCTCTATTAATATATTAGAATAACTGCACTCCCTGCTAGAGTTTCTATTAGGTGCATAATAGTGCGTCTTCAGTGCAATACTGCTGCACTGAAGACAACTCTGATTGCACTGAATTCAAATCCAACAGTTATAATATATTGCTAATGTCCATACTGGACTTTGTTTTTCTAAGTGCTGCTAGCCGTCGTTGCATAGGGATCCGCTTTGTCGTAATTGCATTGAATACACATCGACTAGTAATAAAATAATATTGCACTCCATATTGGAATCTGTATTAGGTGCATTACACTTCGTCTTAAGTGCAACAATGCTGCACTGAAGAGAGCCGTAATTGCACTGAATACAAATTTACTATTAATATGTTACACTAGTTACACTTCAGGTGCATTATACTTCGTCTCCAGTGCAACAATGCCGCACTGAAGACAGCCGTAATTGCACTGAATCTAAGAGAAACTATGACTGAAATACCAAGTTACTATTTTTAAATTCTTTCCTTTATGAATAACGACTGCATAGTAGAACCCTATTATTCCACGTACAAGTGCTGCACTGAAGGTACCCAATGATTGCAGCGACGATTACCCATCTTTCTAGCTTTCGATTTGTTTGCATGCCACTGGATTTCGTTCGATTGCAGCAATGCATGGCCACGATGCAAGACATGACAGCAGATTATGAAACGGTCGCAATCAAGCAGAATCCCCTCACCTCAGCAGGCTTCTGCCCTGATGGCTACAACATGTTGGGATCGAGTTTGATACATAAGAGTAGACCCGCCAGGCATGCTCAATTCCGCCTCCAACCGCAAGGGCCACAGCACAAAAAACACGCCACGAAAGCAAGCAAGTCAATCAGACAGACGACTAGGCGGCCTCCCCAATGGTCTTTTCAAACACCGGTGTTTGCCCGAGAATGCCAGACAGATTCACTCCCACTCGGCCAAGGTGGGTTCCGCCAAAATGAAGGGGGTCGGAAGTTTCTGCCTTTCTGGGTCCCGCCACTGCCACGCCGCAGGCTTATCCCATACTTGCAGATTCATGGCTTCCGATGACCTGGTATGCTCCGGCAATAACTCCACCGGACAATGACAGGTCCCCCCCCCTCATTGTCTGCCGCCATTGGCAGACCGCAGGCTAGTAGCCCTGCAGGTGTGACGGTGGGTCAGCGAATCAGCACAAAGAACAAACGCAGCCCCGAACCCGAACTGCCTCCGCCCGGCCCCAAGCAGCAGCAGAGTCAAGCGGCGGCAGCAGAAGCAGAAGCAGTCGTCTATGTGCAAAGATGATTCCGCACGAGCCACGAAGTCCGGAATCAGGCTTCGGTACAGAAACATGTTACAACGAGGAGTCCAGGAATTGAATTCAGTCAACAAGTGCAGAAGCATCAAGTGTGCGACCAGCGACAAGTGTCTGAGTTGAAAGGCTGTTCTCACTAGTTCCGTGCAGCCCCCTCTTCCGGTCCAAGGTTTGGCCCCGTCCGCCGGTGACCGCCCCCCCAAGCAGCAGCACCAGTAACAGCACCGGAGTCAAGTGGCGGCAGCAGCAGCAGCAGTCATTGCATGAGCAAAGATGATTCCAACTTCGGCCAAGACCACGTGTGCCAGAAAGTCCGCATGTGACACAACTGACAAGGATTCATTTCAATCGACAACTGGACGAGAAGTACGGAAGCAACAGCAATTTAGACAGTGGGACAGGTGCGACCAGTGATAAGGCATCTGAGTTCAAGGCCTGGTCTGAGTCGACGTATCCCTCCCAATCCAATGTCAGGCCAGCTCCTCCGGATGCAAAATGCTTCTTGTAATCAAGAACAAGATAAGTAAGACTCGCCTGCCCAATGCCACCAGGAAGTCGTGCTGTGCCCTGACAAAAACAAAAGTATCAGGCCAGGCAGCTGCACATGTGGACATGCCCGTCTGAGCGAGAGGCCATCGCCGAGCATGACATCCGACCCAACCTCGGGCACGGCAAATCTCTCACAATGCATGTCAGACGCAGTACTCAGTGACTCAGTACACGCCCGCACTGCAAAGTGCATTTTTCATCTCAGGCGGAAGACCACTCACCCCTCAGTCATCAGGCAGCCTCAGACTCAGTCAGGCCCATGCCCTGGAATCTTCGTCGCTGTCTCCGTCGGCCGCCTCCTGCCACTCAGACCACGATCGCCAACGCCAGCCCGAGCCGTGCCACTGCTGATTGTCAGACGACCGCCACTGCTGCCGCTCCTGATTGTCAGACGACCGCCACTGCTGCCGCTCCTGATTGTCAGACGACGGCTGCTGCTCAGACGCCCATGCCCTGGTGCTGCCCGTGTCAGCAGGCACGGTCCCCAAGGTCCCCGTGTCGTCGTTCTCAGACACGTCATTGTTGTCATTGTCAGACCATGGGTCTGTGGGGTCAGGCACTGGACGGGGGCCTTCTCCAGCTGTACGGTCTCGAACAGACTGGCGAATTTTTCGCCATGAGCTGTGCTCGGTTTGAAGCCAGTCAGACTTCCTCAGTCAGGGAATAAAAGTTGAAAGTGTCAGAATCGACTACATTAGTTATAAAGAACCCCCAAAATGGAAAAGTTTACTATACAGCCAACAAGTTTCTCCCTGACGTGCTTCATCACCAACTTGGAGGCGGTGACGTTGGTGAAGCTGCTGTCCCACACCCACTCGCCTGAAGTTCAGGCAATGAACAGCTTCCAGAAAAGATACCCCCCAAAGTTGAAAGACGAGCCACGTGTCAGAAGGACGGTGGTTCGATGAGCATACGCCGGGGCATTCGGGTGCGGGTGCAGCAGCAATGAGACCAGGCCCTTGGATGCAACATGCACCGCTGGAACTTTTCGCATGCTGGCACATCACATTTAATTGTCATTGTAGCTGCAGCCGAGACTCAGCTTTGGCTGCCATGTCGACGCCGCACTTGCAGCAAACCCAGAGGAGGTCAGGCGCACGGTCATGCAAAACAGAGTGCACCTTAGCATTCGCCCTTGCCTTTCAGCATGGTGCTTCACATCGGACTCGGACCAGAGGGCACTAAAGATGCAGCCGGATTGCTGCCCGGTCGGCCTCAGCCTCATGCTCGTCGTACCACTGGGACAAAGCAAAGACCTGGTTGTCAAGCCGCGGTGGTCTGCCTAAGTAAGGCAGGAAGTCATTGGCCATGGTCAGTTTACATTTCAGACATCCCACTTCAGCCGAGCGACGAGGCAGTGCACTGATGTTCATCCTGTCCTCCATGGCAAGCCTCCGCATCAGGCTTGCCCACAGAGCATGGTCCTTCTCCTGCTCCGAGAGTGCCATGGCGGCGACGATCAGCCCTTCTCCCCAAAAGTTTTGGCCTACCCTAAGGGTTTAACCCAACATTCATAAATCAGACCTGCAAGCTGCCACAACCCTGGCTTGCCATGCCATGTGACAGTGATCTTGATCCACAGCACACAGGAAAAAAGTTAAAGGCAGCACGCATGGCATCAAACACATGCCCAAATCCAGGCTGGCGAATCCACTTGACCGGGTCCCCCACAGACTCTGCAACGACGGCAGCTCGTCCACACGGTCAGGCATCCGAGACCTGTCGTGTCGCAAGTGGGCAGTCATGGGAGGCAGGGTATTTAAGTCCAAAGCCAGAGGAACCGAAGGCAAAGTGAAAGATGATCACGAAAGCACCTGAACCAGATGTTCATGGATTTCCGATTCCAGGCACTGCAGGGGCACCGGTATGCTCAGGCCGCAGCTGCCCAGACGAAACAGAAGGAGGAGTCCTTCCCAAAAGCAGTCATGGCTCTGTGCACGAAACTTTTAAAGACAAACTGGCAAAGTTGTGCAGTGAACTCGACTCTTCTTTTTGCCGCCGCACCCCGGAGATCAAGCTGTTGCAGTGGGCCCGCCATTTAGAGGGCACCCCAGGAGACGGAGGCATGAAAATCAGGCGGAATGGCCAGGTAGATCAGGCTGACACATGTAGGGTTTAGATAGGGTTTAGAATTTAGGGTTTGGCCTACCCGGACTTGCCGCCTTTTTTGGGCTCAGGCCCCTTAGCCTTGCCGGCCTTGCCCTTTCCCTTCGGAGGGTCAGTCGCTGGCGGAGGCGGTGGTGGTGGTGGAGGAGGAGGAGGCCCATTGCCAGGAGCTGAGAGGTCATAGATGTCAGGCACCTCAGTGAGATGACGTTCAATGTCAATGACGGAAAACACGAAATGTAGCATAATGACGAAATGGAGCAAGAGTGGATGCAGTCCAAGGCTCGTGGAGGCCTGCCGTCCTCATTGCATTGTGGAATGCCGCAGGGCTGTTGAGAGCCCACCATCTCAGGTAGGCCCTCTGGTGTATCACCCTGTGTATCAACACCTGGCCCAGATGTGCGCTGCGACAAATTCAAAAACAACAGAATGCCAGGTGCAGACTCCCGCCTGCTTCAGGGTCTCCTTGTGGTCGGCATTCTCAGGCACCGGACAGTTGAACGTCCCCTCCGTGAAGCGGTCCGGTGCTCCCTGCCGACACATTGATGAACTGGCTTCTCAGGCACAGGGTTTAATAAGGTCACGAAGCCCGGCCTTCACCGAGTCTCGAAGAAAGACCAGGACCGAGGCACGCGAGACGTACATCGACAGCAGCTCCTTGCTGTCCGACAGACGCTCGAACTCACACATGCCACGAAAACTCAGAGGAGTTAAATCAGCCAAGAAGCCTCAAAGGACATGCCACAATATCTTCTGGACTCAGGATCAGTCAACAAATGCTTCTTTTCATCCTTTTCCTTTTTCTCCTTTTTTTTCTTCTTGTCTTTCTTGTCCTTTTTGGACTTCTTCTTATCTTTCTTTTTCTTATCCTTCTTCTTCTTTTCCTTCTTCTCTTCTCCTTTCCCCTTCCCCCTCCCCTTCCGGCCCTTCTTGCCCTTGCCGTGCCCTTTCTCAGGCGTCAAAGGCCTCTTCAGGTTCCTCACGGCTTCCTCAGCCTTGCGGCGGTGCAAAGCCCACTCCTCAGCCGCTTCCTTCTTTTCCTGGTTCTTCTTTTCCTCCACCTCCTCGGCCTTCTTGTCGTCCTTCTTTTCCTTTTTCTTCTTTTCATCCGCCTCCTCAGCCTTCTTGTCATCCTTTTTTTCCTTTTTCTTCTTGTCATCCGCCTCCTCAGCCTTCTTGTCGTCCTTTTTTTCCTTTTTCTTCTGTTGAGCCGCCTCCTCGACCTTCTTGTCATCCTTCTTTTCCTTTTTCTTAGCCGCCTCCTCAGCCTTCTTGTCATCCTTCTTTTCCTTTGCCTTCTTTTCATCCTCCGCCTTTGGAGGCTTCTTCTCGTCCTCCTTCTTCTCCACCTTCTTGTCAGGCAGCTTCGCCTCCTTCTTGTCGTCCTTCTTTTCAGACTTCTTCTCGTCTTTCTTGTCCTCCTTCTTCTCAGCCTCCCTCAGGCTGCTCCCAGCAGCAGGTACCAACCTCAGGTGGTCATTGCTGCTCCCGGCAGCTTCTCGGGCCAGCCTTTCGCGGTTTTGCCGACGCTTTCGAACGTTCGGCTTCTTTCGCTGCTGCCTGCCAGGACACATCATTCAATTGTCAACGACACGACGGCTAACACTCAGGCCTCTCAGGCTGCTCCTGAACGTCACTGTCAGACGAGGAGGTTGAATACGAGGATGACCTTGTCGATGACGAAGAAGAGGAACCCGAAGACGATGTCATGGCTTCGGAGGCTCCAAGCTGGGAGCGGGGTGCTAAGTCGGCCAATTACAGACCCGGTTTTGGGCTCCAAAAGTGGGATCTGTCCCGGTGTACTACCGAAGGAATGCTGCAGTGTAAGTCTGTGTAAGTTTCAGGCAGATGTCTGTCCACATGTGACACATGTGATGGGAAGCTCCAGCCAAGGAGCTTTCTTTAAGTTAGGATCCGCAGTCGCTGATTTTTTTGACGATTGAAGAAGTGACTGCACCTAAGTCATCTACCGGAAATGCTAAATCATGAACTCATGACGAGTCTGAGAAGAAAGAAGCAGCATGCACAGCCGATGCTCAAGCCACGCTTCATCCATGCCAACCATGTTCACATCTCAATGGCACGGAGCACACGGTCCTCAGACGAGGAAGTCGAAGAGGATGCAGCAGGCTCCAGCCTCGACAAATCGTGCCGACAAACCAAACGGACTGCAACAATAAACACTAAGTGCATGCAGGAACATGAGAAGAACCGGGCACCGCACGTCGTCATCCAAAGTCAAACCTCCGTCGCATGGGGGGGGAACTTAACCGGCGAACCAAGACCAGTCTCCTGAAGAGCACCGGGCGCCCCGCATCCAAATATTGACGCAACTCATCGTCGTCGTCCATTGCCATGGTCGGGCCTCAATCAAATAACAGTGTGGCCAGCCCAAGTGCATCAGACACAGGACCAAGCACCTCGCATCATGAAACCTGGATGTTGCCTTAGAGCGGGTCTCATGGTGCTTCCTCGTATTTTAGACCGGGCTAGGGAACACCATGACATGTTGCAATGTGAAGCAGAAACGGGCACCTGGCATCATCAACCGACGAACCCAAGGGCTGAGATCAGGCCTTAAAACAACAGTGCAAAGTCTAAGGGCTTGCGAATCAGAATCTGGGCACCTCACCTCGTCATCAGATGCCCAACGCCAGGCCTCAGTCCAGCGACACTGTGAGGCAGACCCAGGCGAAGCCCCCGGGCACCTCGCAACATCAGCCAAGGTCAGGCCTCAGACACACAACGAGACAGTCAATCAGGATGCAATGCTGTGGTGCGGTACCGTGCCAGGAACCAGGCACCCCTCGTCAGCCAGCATTGTCCAAGTCAGACCTAAGCCAGTGACACAACAGTCAGAAAGAACATGCGAAGTAACGGGTGCCGGGCATCATCAGTTTTACGAATGGTCAGACCTGAGTGAAATGGCCATACAGTTTTCAAATTTAAGCTGGAAACGGACTTCACTGCGAAACCTGCCTGGCCAGGCGCCACGACGGTCAGGCGGTGATGGTCAGGCCTCAGACGCACCAAGTTAAACCACCCTCCTAGACCCCAGGCCCAAACCAAACCCCAAAGGCTCGAAGGCCACCCCGAACCCGAATCAATACCGCAACACCCTGAAACTTAGGGGGGTGAATCTGGGGTCACAATCCCAAATCCGAATGGGGGGGTTTCTGGGGCCTCACCCTGAAAAAAACCCAGCCGGACGGCACACCACAATGGGCCAGTCCAGGCATCGGCCGAGCTGACCGAAACGCTCGGGCCAATCATGCCGGCTGTGAAGATTTTGATCGGCATCGGAGCCCGGCTCACGAAGAACCGGCACCGTGCCTGACCAAAACTCCAAAGCTCAGGCGAGGCCTCAGAGCTTTCGGTCGGCATCGGAGCCCGGCTCACGGAGAACCGGCACCAAGCCTGACCGAAGGTCGGCATGGGAGCCTGGCTCACGAAGAGCCGGCACCCGCCTGACCGGGAGCGCAATGGAGCCAGGCTCACGAAGAGCCGGCACCAAAGGCTCGCAGCGCAGTCGGCTGGTGCCCGGCTCACGAAGAACCGGCACCGCCAGACTGAGGGGGCAACGGAGCCTGGCTCACGAAGAACCGGCACCGAAGACCCCCTGAACCGGCACCGCCTGACTGAGCTGCCAACAACTCAAGCACAAGTCATGCGGGGTTAGGGAGGGAAACCAACCGGGTCTTAGGGTCCTACCTAAAACTAAAAAACCCTCAGGCAGCGGCCGGCCCATGTCGTTGAAGAAGACGATGAAGTCGCGGGCAGGATTTAAGGGTTTGGGTTTAGGGCTTAGGGTTTTAGGGTTTAGGGTTTTAGGGTGTTGGGGATTAGTGTGGTGGCATTCAGCTGTTAGCCTCTCGGGTCTAGTGTCATTGGGTTCAAATTATTAGGGTCGAGGTTACGGTTTTAGGCTTTAGGGTGGGTGGACTACGAAGCTTGAAGGCCTATGGCACTGGTGATGGGAGTCTGTAGTTAGTAGGGATCTGGGACGATAGGGTTTAAGGTGGTGCCATGGTTGAGGGTGATGGGCTTCAGCTTTCCAGGGTTTAGGTGTCTGAAGGTGTAAGGATATACATTTTGGGTTTAGGGAGGAGGGGTAAAGTTCAAGGCTTGTTGTGACGTCGTCAGACTACGTTCGAGCACTACAGCTATGCGGCCTATTTCAAACCCATACACCCCCATTTAAAAACCCAAAACAAGACCTTGAGAATCACCTCTACTAGTTTCCCATCCCCTTCTTTACCTCTCTAACCCCCCCAGCAACCCTCTCTTATTGCTATCCTAGGCATCATACAACCCATTCCCGGCAAAAGTTGAAAAGTTTGTTTTACAGCCACTAAGTATAGAACTACCTATTATATACCTACTTGCTGAGTCCCCCCAACCTCCAAACAGGCAAGGCTTGCGGTAAATCGGGGTTGTTCTTATTGGGAATGCATTTCCACAGGAGGAGATCCTGGCCCAACAACCCGGACTCCGGTTTAAGGTTTAGGGTTTAGGAAAGAAAAACCCTAAACCCTAAACCCTAAACCCACCATTGTGAAAGCCTAAACCCCCAACCATGAAACCCGAATCCCTGAAGCGATTGAAGGGATGCACTCCCTGCCTTCAACTCTAAATCCTCAGGGGGTTTATAAGGGTTTAGGGTTTAGGGTTTAGGGGTTTAGGGGTTTAGGGGTTTAGGGGAATCCTCAGCCGCAAAGCCCAACAACTCGAGATGAGGACTCCTGTACTCAGCCAGCATTGCGATGTTGCGCTGCAAGTACGACTCGTAGCTGGAGCTCACAGGGAAGTCATCCTGTGAGAGCGCCCAGAGAGCCCAATACACCTTAATCAACGAATATGGCCTAAATTATATAGGGCTTCATATAATGATTTAAGCTATATTCCTTAATCAAGGGGTATTGGGCTCTCTGGGTGTTTGCATGTAGAGTTTAGGCTTTTGGTGCACTGCTGTGCTCAAAGGCAGCCCAGCTTGCAAGTGAAACAAAACCCCTGACCTAAGCCAACCCGATTTGACCCATGCAATAAAAGCAGTTGTTACATCCCGTTGGGGTGCTGCGTCTCTAGGGCACAATGCCTTGCTTTTGGATTCACTGCAGATCATGAACGATTAGTTATTGAATCCAGATTGAAGCATGGGTCATGTTTCGGTCAAGCACGTTCGGTTACAGTAGAAGCCAGAAAGTTGGAATATCACTATCGTAACCCCTTTAAGGTAAATTATAGGGGATCCTACCATTAATCCATATTCCAACTTTCTGGAGTTACCCTATAATTTACTTTAAAGGGGTTACGATAATGATATTCCAACTTTCTGGAGTTCCCTTTATAGGTTTGACAGGCTAGGGTAGGTCAGGTTGGAGCAGGTTAGGCTCACTGGCCCAAAACCCAAAAGCTGACCCAAGCTACTTGTTGGCTGTAAGCTCAACTTTTCAACTTTTGGAGTTCTTGTAAGGTAGTCGAGTTTGAAAGTTTCAACTTTTATTCCTTTGGGTGGGTAGGTCCGGTTAGGGTAGGCTAGGTCAGGCTAGGTTCGGTTAAGTTGAGAATAGATCCGGTTAGGTCAGGTTAGGGCAGGTCAGGTGTGAACAGGTTAGGGTAGGTTCGGTCAGGTTAGTCGGGGCAGGTCAGGCTAGGTTCGGAAAGGGCAGGTCCGGTTAGGTTCGGTTAGGCTAGAAGCCCTTACAGAGCCCTTAACGCATCCCTAGAATAGCCTAACCCTAACTCCCGCAACAAAGCGGTATCTACAAGGGTTGCTTGAAAGGCATCTATAGGATTCCTATTCTAGGAACCCTCAACAACAATCCTAGACCCTGGCCTCATGGCAGAACCATGACTGGAAGTTGCTGGAGCGGTCCACTGTGGCGAAGTACTCGCCTCGGCAACTGCGAGAGGGCTTGGGGCTCGGGGGTTGAAGCCTTTCAAGGCTTTGGTCGGACCTTCTAGGGTTTCATGGAGCTTCATGCTGTCTTTGTAAAAGGATCGCAAAGGGAGTTTATACTCATTAGAGGAAAATCTTTTCTTAGGTCTTCGGGCCCAATTGATCTTAAAGCAACAGCTGTCCTCATAACCAAACTGCCTAGCTTGGGGTTTAGAGCTTAGAGGACATATGCTAGGCAATCGGAACTGCAGCTATCACTACTCTACTCTCGTTGAGAAATATGTAAGATTTTGTATATACACACATATTTGGAGATGATACAAAGACACCAGAACACACGCAAACAACAAGCTGGGTACGGTACTAGCACTAGTCTGATATGTGGGAACGAGTGGTGAGAATCGGGTTTTGAGGGTTTTCTTGACTTCTATGAAAGGAATAAGGAATCCCAAGATATAGTATTGCCAATTCCTCAAGCCTCGATATTTCCTGCACCCTAACACCCCGAATAGCTCAAACTGGGTACTACGCCAAAAGCAGGGTTAAAGGTTGGGGTTTTGGGGTTTATTCCAATGTAATTAACCATAGAGACCGTATCAGGGTGGAGAACAATAATTACTGAGTGTTCCGACCACTATTGTATCCCAGCCCCACGGTAGGATCCAGAAACTAGAT